AGAGCTAACTCAAATACTACCTAACTCCTTATTAAATTGGGAACCCTAGCTGGGAAAGCCATGTGTGTTGCCAAATCACAAACCTAAACAATAAGAACAGGCATCAATTACAGAAAACAGGCTGGCTTGGCATAATGTGAGTTGTCAGTATATAACAGAAAATGTGTGTGATGTTGACCCTTTATCTACTGGGGTCCATTTATAGTGTAGAGTGATCAGCATGTGTGTGATGAAATAAATAAACACAGGGAATATTAAATGGTGAGTGACAAATCAGTATGTGTGAATTCCAAACTAGTAAAAAATAAAGCAAGAATGGGAAAATCCTGTACTAAATCAAACTACGGTATGTATGTGAGACACTGTAGAAAAGAGTGTGTGTGTGCTACTAAGATCATTCTCCGGTGTGTGTGTGAAATGATGTAGTAAAAAATGTGAGTATACTGCCTGACCTCTAGAAATGAGACAATCAATGAAAAGTGAAAAAGACTGTGCAGCTGAAACATGCACTAAAAGTGTAATGAGCCCTCGTGAATAATGAGAATGCACTGTCAGAAAGGTAAGAATGCAATAAAAAAATATAAATAAATAAATAAAATGAAATAAAAAATATATACAAAATACAATAAAATAAAAATAAATATCAAAATAAATAAAAAATATAATAAAAATAAAAATAACAAAAAATAAAAATAGTAAAAATAAACAATAAAGAGAAAATAAAAAATGTAACAGTGATCCTACTAACTATATGCCAGTGCAGCCTCCAAGATCGGCATGCTAGGTAATGGAAAAGAGAAAAATTAGGTAAAAGGAGAGAGGGTCCTACTATAAGAACCTTATGTCACTGGGTATTTATCAAAAAGCCAAAAGTGCCTAGATGTATGTACTATCCCCAATCACCAATTGGAAGTCCACAACCCTTTCTTGCAGCTCTGTATTGTAACTCCCACCGGCAGGAAATCAGATGGAAATAATTCACAATGTCATAGAAACATAGAAACATAGAATGTGACGGCAGATAAGAACCATTCGGCCCATCTAGTCTGCCCAATTTTCTAAATACTTTCATTAGTCCCTAGCCTTATCTTATAGTTAGGATAGCCTTATGCCTATCCCACGCATGCTTAAACTCCTTTACTGTGTTAACCTCTACCACTTCAGCTGAAAAGCTATTCCATGCATCCACTACCCTCTCAGTAAAGTAATACTTCCTGATATTATTTTTAAACCTTTGTCCCTCTAATTTAAGACTATGTCCTCTTGTTGTGGTAGTTTTTCTTCTTTTAAATATAGTCTCCTCCTTTACTGTGTTGATTCCCTTTATGCATTTAAATGTTTCTATCATATCCCCCCTGTCTCGCCTTTCCTCCAAGTTATACATGTTAAGATCCTTTAACCTTTCCTGGTAAGTTTTATCCCGCAATCCATGAACCAGTTTAGTAGCCCTTCTCTGAACCCTCTCTAAGGTATCAATATCCTTCTGAAGATACGGTCTCCAGTACTGTGTACAATACTCCAAGTGAGGTCTCACCAGTGTTCTGTACAATGGCATGAGCACTTCCCTCTTTCTACTGCTAATACCTCTCCCTATACAACCAAGCATTCTGGTTGTATGTCCTCTTTATTATGGGATGGTCATTAAATCCTGAGTCAAAATCTCGCATCCAAGTCATTTACTGCTCAGCGATATCAACGGATATCCAAAAAACAACTAAATGAGTTGTATTCGTTTAATCCTTTCGGTTGGACCGTATCCAGATGTGTAATCCAAAAGGTTTCCCTTTGTAAAAGTAACTTTGATCTGTCGCCTCCTCTTGTGAGCGGTGGGATGTGGTCTATCATAATGAACTTAAGCGTGGGTAAATGGTGTTGGAAATCTAGGAAGTGTTTTGCCACAGGTTTATCAGTCTTCCCATGCCGGTACGCCGTCATGATTCCTGATCTGTGACCACGAATACGGTCCCTTACTGTAAGGTCTGTTTTACCCACATAATATTTCCCACATGGGCATGAAATGAGGTATACTACATGGTCACTCATGCAGGTTAGTCGATGTTTGATCTGGATTCTTTTGCCTGTGTGGGGATGTGCAAAGGAAGAGCCTGTCAGCATGTGTCCACAGGTGACGCAACCTGAACACTTGAAACAGCCTTTCTTGGTATGTAATGTTCGTGTAATATATTGGCTCGGTATATCTGTTTTTACTAAAATGTCCTTCAAGTTTCTGTTGCGTGAATATGCGACCCTTGGTTTCTGTAAAAAAACCGGATTAAGTGTTCTGTCGCTGGATAAGATGTCCCATCTCCCTTTAATCCTGTGGGAAAATCTCTGGCTCTCCGTGTGGTATGATAAAGGGATCGTAATTCTGGGCAGATTTTGAAGTTGTTTAGTAGATATGCCCCTGTATATATTTTCTGCTTTTATTTGACATTCTTGGAGCACTTTATATGTGTATCCTCGTTCCACAAAGGATCTGGTCATGTCCTCTAGTTGAGTTTTACATGTGCTTTCCTCCGAGTTATTCCTGTACACTCTTAAGTATTGCGAAATAGGTAAAGACTCCTTTAGGGCTTTGGGATGAGCGCTGTTGGCGTGTAGCAGCGTGTTGCGGTCTGAGGGTTTTCTAAATAATCGATGTCCAATGTTTCGATCCTTCCGGAATATCTCCACATCCAAGAATTGGATTTTATCTGGGCTGTACGTCAAAGTAAATTTAATGGTGGAGTTTAAATTGTTCAGTTCTTCAATCATCTTCTCCAATTCTGTTGCCGTGCCTTGCCATAAAATAAAGATGTCGTCCACAAGCCTGTGATACTGTATCAAATGTTCCTTATATGTGGACAGAATGTATCTGCTCTCATATGCATACATAAAACTATTCGCATATGTTGGAGCTATTGCCGATCCCATCGCAGTTCCCATCTCTTGAATGTAGAAATTCTTTTCAAAACGAAAATAATTGTTTGTCAATGTAAGTAGTAATCCTTCTAACAAAAATTCAATGGGGGGACCTTCATAGACATCTGATTGTAATAGCAGTGTTCGCATCGCATCCATCCCCATATTGTGAGGAATCACCGTGTACAAATTTTTTACATCTGCCGTGGCGAAGATGTACTGTGTGTCGTTTAATTCACAGCTGGTGATTTTATTAAGGAAGTCTTGGGTATCCCTTAGGCATGTGGATAATCTGGAGACTGTGGACTTACAATAAAAATCCACGTATTTAGCTATGGGTTCCAGTAAACCTCCTCGAGCGGATACAATTGGTCTCCCAGGTGGTTTCTTTGCGTCCTTGTGTATCTTAGGGAGTGTGTAAAGGATCGGAATTTTCGGATGTGTATTGAGCAAATATTCCGCTGTGCTGTGATCCAGCCAATTTGCTGCTGTTCCCAATGTTATCCACTCCTGTATTTTGGTGCTGATCTTGCTCGTGGGGTCAGAGGTTAGCTTTCTGTATGTCTGGGTATCAGATAATTGGGTTAAAATTTCTTCCCTGTAGTCCGTATAGTCCTGTAGGACTATTGCTCCCCCTTTATCTGCTGCTCGAATCACAAGTTGATCATCCCTGCTCAAATCTCTGAGAGCAGTTCTTTCTGCCTGGGTTAAATTATCCGGTTTCTTCTGTTGTTGTGCAAGAATGATATCCATGTCAGTTTTCAAAATAGTGGAGAAGGTTTTGATGGCATGATGTGTGTATTTAGGTTCCCAAACGCTTTTGAGTTTGAATGATGAGGATGGTCTTACTGTCATGGTATCACGAGTAGCTTGCATATTTAAAATTCTGTTCATTTTGAACAATTCAACCCCGGTTTTGAATGCATCTGGTTTGGCCGTCGGAACGAATGTAAGTCCTTTGGATAGTACTTGATTGTGGGCATTGGTCAGCGTCTTGGAGGATAGGTTGAAGACTGGATTTATGTCCTTCTGGTTGGTGGTTTGGATCTGGTATTTATAGATCTTGTTCCTCTGTCCTCTTCTGATAAATCTGCGTCTTTTGAACCTCTCCTTGTGCGTTGATATTTGCCAGGGGGATCGTTTGTGTGTCGTTCCGCCCCTAAAAAAGTTGATGATTGGGTTTGTTGTGTATCTCTGATGAGCCCTCCTTGGCTTGAGGTAGCTCTGGTGTCTGTTTCCGAAGTGGAGTCTGCTGAGCTCGTGTCAGTGAATTTCGACTATACCCACCATCAGGTATACCATTGGATTAGTGGAGAAAGACGTAGACTACCATTCCAACGTAACAGACAACGAACACGCAAGCCTCAATTCTTATCCATTGACACGAGCTCAGCAGACTCCACTTCGGAAACAGACACCAGAGCTACCTCAAGCCAAGGAGGGCTCATCAGAGATACACAACAAACCCAATCATCAACTTTTTTAGGGCCGGAACGACACACAAACGATCCCCCTGGCAAATATCAACGCACAAGGAGAGGTTCAAAAGACGCAGATTTATCAGAAGAGGACAGAGGAACAAGATCTATAAATACCAGATCCAAACCACCAACCAGAAGGACATAAATCCAGTCTTCAACCTATCTTCCAAGACGCTGACCAATGCCCACAATCAAGTACTATCCAAAGGACTTACATTCGTTCCGACGGCCAAACCAGATGCATTCAAAACCGGGGTTGAATTGTTCAAAATGAACAGAATTTTAAATATGCAAGCTACTCGTGATACCATGACAGTAAGACCATCCTCATCATTCAAACTCAAAAGCGTTTGGGAACCTAAATACACACATCATGCCATCAAAACCTTCTCCACTATTTTGAAAACTGACATGGATATCATTCTTGCACAACAACAGAAGAAACCGGATAATTTAACCCAGGCAGAAAGAACTGCTCTCAGAGATTTGAGCAGGGATGATCAACTTGTGATTCGAGCAGCAGATAAAGGGGGAGCAATAGTCCTACAGGACTATACGGACTACAGGGAAGAAATTTTAACCCAATTATCTGATACCCAGACATACAGAAAGCTAACTTCTGACCCCACGAGCAAGATCAGCACCAAAATACAGGAGTGGATAACATTGGGAACAGCAGCAAATTGGCTGGATCACAGCACAGCGGAATATTTGCTCAATACACATCCGAAAATTCCGATCCTTTACACACTCCCTAAGATACACAAGGACGCAAAGAAACCACCTGGGAGACCAATTGTATCCGCTCGAGGAGGTTTACTGGAACCCATAGCTAAATACGTGGATTTTTATTGTAAGTCCACAGTCTCCAGATTATCCACATGCCTAAGGGATACCCAAGACTTCCTTAATAAAATCACCAGCTGTGAATTAAACGACACACAGTACATCTTCGCCACGGCAGATGTAAAAAATTTGTACACGGTGATTCCTCACAATATGGGGATTGATGCGATGCGAACACTGCTATTACAATCAGATGTCTATGAAGGTCCCCCCATTGAATTTTTGTTAGAAGGATTACTACTTACATTGACAAACAATTATTTTCGTTTTGAAAAGAATTTCTACATTCAAGAGATGGGAACTGCGATGGGATCGGCAATAGCTCCAACATATGCGAATAGTTTTATGTATGCATATGAGAGCAGATACATTCTGTCCACATATAAGGAACATTTGATACAGTATCACAGGTTTGTGGACGACATCTTTATTTTATGGCAAGGCACGGCAACAGAATTGGAGAAGATGATTGAAGAACTGAACAATTTAAACTCCACCATTAAATTTACTTTGACGTACAGCCCAGATAAAATCCAATTCTTGGATGTGGAGATATTCCGGAAGGATCGAAACATTGGACATCGATTATTTAGAAAACCCTCAGACCGCAACACGCTGCTACACGCCAACAGCGCTCATCCCAAAGCCCTAAAGGAGTCTTTACCTATTTCGCAATACTTAAGAGTGTACAGGAATAACTCGGAGGAAAGCACATGTAAAACTCAACTAGAGGACATGACCAGATCCTTTGTGGAACGAGGATACACATATAAAGTGCTCCAAGAATGTCAAATAAAAGCAGAAAATATATACAGGGGCATATCTACTAAACAACTTCAAAATCTGCCCAGAATTACGATCCCTTTATCATACCACACGGAGAGCCAGAGATTTTCCCACAGGATTAAAGGGAGATGGGACATCTTATCCAGCGACAGAACACTTAATCCGGTTTTTTTACAGAAACCAAGGGTCGCATATTCACGCAACAGAAACTTGAAGGACATTTTAGTAAAAACAGATATACCGAGCCAATATATTACACGAACATTACATACCAAGAAAGGCTGTTTCAAGTGTTCAGGTTGCGTCACCTGTGGACACATGCTGACAGGCTCTTCCTTTGCACATCCCCACACAGGCAAAAGAATCCAGATCAAACATCGACTAACCTGCATGAGTGACCATGTAGTATACCTCATTTCATGCCCATGTGGGAAATATTATGTGGGTAAAACAGACCTTACAGTAAGGGACCGTATTCGTGGTCACAGATCAGGAATCATGACGGCGTACCGGCATGGGAAGACTGATAAACCTGTGGCAAAACACTTCCTAGATTTCCAACACCATTTACCCACGCTTAAGTTCATTATGATAGACCACATCCCACCGCTCACAAGAGGAGGCGACAGATCAAAGTTACTTTTACAAAGGGAAACCTTTTGGATCACACATCTGGATACGGTCCAACCGAAAGGATTAAACGAATACAACTCATTTAGTTGTTTTTTGGATATCCGTTGATATCGCTGAGCAGTAAATGACTTGGATGCGAGATTTTGACTCAGGATTTAATGACCATCCCATAATAAAGAGGACATTGTGAATTATTTCCATCTGATTTCCTGCCGGTGGGAGTTACAATACAGAGCTGCAAGAAAGGGTTGTGGACTTCCAATTGGTGATTGGGGATAGTACATACATCTAGGCACTTTTGGCTTTTTGATAAATACCCAGTGACATAAGGTTCTTATAGTAGGACCCTCTCTCCTTTTACCTAATTTTTCTCTTTTCCATTACCTAGCATGCCGATCTTGGAGGCTGCACTGGCATATAGTTAGTAGGATCACTGTTACATTTTTTATTGTTTATTTTCTCTTTATTGTTTATTTTTACTATTTTTATTTTTTGTTATTTTTATTTTTATTTTTATTATATTTTTTATTTATTTTGATATTTATTTTTATTTTATTGTATTTTGTATATATTTTTTATTTCATTTTATTTATTTATTTATTTATTTATTTATTATATTTTTTTATTGCATTCTTACCTTTCTGACAGTGCATTCTCATTATTCACGAGGGCTCATTACACTTTTAGTGCATGTTTCAGCTGCACAGTCTTTTTCACTTTTCATTGATTGTCTCATTTCTAGAGGTCAGGCAGTATACTCACATTTTTTACTACATCATTTCACACACACACCAGAGAATGATCTTAGTAGCACACACACACTCTTTTCTACAGTGTCTCACATACATACCGTAGTTTGATTTAGTACAGGATTTTCCCATTCTTGCTTTATTTTTTACTAGTTTGGAATTCACACATACTGATTTGTCACTCACCATTTAATATTCCCTGTGTTTATTTATTTCATCACACACATGCTGATCACTCTACACTATAAATGGACCCCAGTAGATAAAGGGTCAACATCACACACATTTTCTGTTATATACTGACAACTCACATTATGCCAAGCCAGCCTGTTTTCTGTAATTGATGCCTGTTCTTATTGTTTAGGTTTGTGATTTGGCAACACACATGGCTTTCCCAGCTAGGGTTCCCAATTTAATAAGGAGTTAGGTAGTATTTGAGTTAGCTCTATTAGGCTACACAGGTTTACAGTTACCAATACACCAGTCTTTCTAACTGAGTCCCTATATGAGCAATCGTTTCTAGCCATTCCTGGCTCACTCTAGTATCCTACGATCAGTTAGGCAGTTGCTTAGACATTTATGAAAACACATATGCAACATATAATTTTATTTATCCTCCGTATTGATTTTAAATCTCTGCCGACATTTGGTTTTTAAACAGCTGTGCCGTCTCTAGGCAACACATGGGGATTTCACCACACGTCACTTTACGGCAATTAACATAACGATTTACAATTTGCGGCTTCACTCATATGGCAGATCGGACACACAGGGAGCACTTGGTGATTGGGTAAGTTTAACAAGCGTTTATGTATATATTTGAGGTTTTTGTATATGACAGCATCTTGATAAAGACCGCTAGACGGTCGAAACGTCGATTTTTTTTGTGCTATTTGAATACAGTAATTTGATTTACCAAATCCATGGAGTGCTCTCATTTTTTGCTTTGTATATATATATATATATATATATATATATATATATATAAATATATATATATATATATATATATATATATACACATTGATTCTAAATGTGTTTTATATATTTTTTATTTAATTTATATATATTTGGAGTCATGCCTGACAACCCAGGCTGAAATACCAGAAAATTAATTTGCAAGCCCTATATTTTACCCTGTAACTTTCTAAAACTCTATAAAACCTGTACATGGGGGTACTGTTGTACTTGCGAGATGTGGCTGAACACAAATATGAGTGCCTAAGAGCAGAATATCAATGATATCATCAATAAAAAGACTGCAGTTTTTGTGTGAGAAATGCCAAAACCAATTATAAACACGAACTTTGGCTTTGAAATGGGCAAGCTCTTTATTTGACCCTGGGCATTGTTGTACTTGTGTGTGTTTTATTGCAGTGAAAGCTAACAGCATTTATTATAAATTATTTCCATTAATGAATGTTTGATGTAAAAATATTTTCACACATATTTGATATTTCTCCTGAACAGAATGATACATAACTGTGGATGTGCTTAATACGAAAGAGGTAAATGATGGTTGAACAGACATATAGCTCACATTTTAGGTTTTGTTTTGGTTTAGAAGTTTGATAATTGCCTCTGTCTTTAAGGGGTTACATTTGAAATTCACTTTGAATTCACCTTTAATTTTCAGTTTATTAATTTACCCTGTTAATCTGACTTGAATGTATACTAGGTCCAAAAAAAAAAAAAGTTACATTAGCTATTCAATTTAATCACATACTCCATGTCCAAAAAACATGGATTCTATAATGTGACATATATCTGTTGTTTCTGCTCCAAATGAGCAGATAGGAGGAGTTTAAGGGTATCTTGTGCACTTTCCAAAGAACAAGCAGTGGCCTAGAAGCACACTTCAGTGCAAATCAAACAATTTGTCTCATATTAGACATAAATTTAAAAAATCTTAAATTACTAAAACAGTTCTAAAACAGTGAATCATTGTGGTTGTTTTTAAAGAAAAAATAACTTTTTTAATTCCACTGTCCTTGTCCAACCTGCCTTTGTTGACTCCTGGCACTATCCTCATCATCCCCCTTGCTCTGCTTAAGGGTAGAGATAGTGCTAAGTGTACCTTTAAAACCTATAAAAACTGTAAAAATCCAGATTCAGCAAGGGTGGACTAGCT